TGTCTGGTATTTCCCTTTATAATCCTCATTTTAAATTGCTTATGACTTACCATCAATTTAACAACTTAACAACAGTTTTCCTTGCTTTTTGTCTGCCTCAGACTGGTTTTATGTTTGTGTGTGTATGCATCTTGTGAACAGGCCAATATATTTCCGCTATATAAATCTAATCTGAATTAAATGTTTTTTCCCATAAAAAAAGAAAATTTCTACTATCCTCAACTGCAAAGGGAAAACCTGACATATTTGTTTGCATTCTTTAGAAAAATGTATGCAAACTAGAAAACTGCAGTTTGCATTTACTAGCAGAAACTCTCTCTAAAGCATCAGGATCAAAATTCTACCTGCACTGGTAACACTTCACAGAACAATTTTTCTACCTGAAACTGATACTATGAGCTGCTATGGCTGGGGGTTATCACAAGGTACCAAACTTTAAAATAAAGTGAATGCAAAACCAATGGGAAATAGACCTAGGACTGACAGCAACTGACTAGGACAACCAGGTAGGAGAAATTAGAGCTGGAACCTAATGGAAAAGAGAAAAGGATCTGTGATTTGGGACCAAATATGGAGCATAAATGACTGGGAGAAGTCAGCAAGACTAGAGTACAAATTAGGGAAGGGGAGGGGAGCGCAGTGCTGGTAATGGAAGCTCTCGATGAGATTGGGTAAAAAGTACTAATTCTGGCATTTCCAATTTTAAGAGCTTAAATTTGCAACCCTAACAATACCTGGATACAGGACACTTGCATATGTTTTAGACAACATGCACAGATTTATTATAAAGGGCAAAGTATATGTGCAGCATCATGTCTTGTCATTAAAATCAGAAGTGGTGCTTGGACACTGAGGTGTGTGGCAACTGAATATCACTCTTCTGAATTATCTACTCATGACAGGTGTGCTGATACACCAAATACAGGTGTAAGGCAATCAGGAGGTAGATGATCTCTGCCAGCATTTCTAACAAACACACAATGCATTGGTTGTTCTACATACCTTAAGTTCAAAAAGATCCAGTAACCAATCATAATATGTGATTTTTTTTTTTTAATAGAACCAGGCAATCTGTGGGTCTGCAAAGTGTTGCTAGGAATTGCTAGGGAGAGCTGAGAGCAGAGGAATTGACTGTGCTGGGTTTAGAAGTTGCTGTTTACTCCATTATGCCACCGACAGGCGCAAGGCTTTCTTCTCACTCTCAATAAGACCATAATCAGCTCTTCCCACATGCACAGAGTTTTCTGGATGAGAGCAGGGGTTCCCTGTGGAGACACCAATACGGGGGAACCGTTGCATACAGTCAGTTAATTGTGGGGCTGTCAGCAGTGGTGTCAGTCTCCGCACTGACTGCCTCTGCAGAGATGGGGTCTGGTGCCGGAATCAGCTACATTTACATGTCAGCTCTGTCCTAGCTCTTGGTTGGGGTAAAGATATTTGGAGGCAGGCAGCACAGAGACTAGCACTGCTGTGGGTTCTCAGTCACCTGGCAGCTTGCAACAATCTCCATCCAGTAGGACTCAGCGTTTCGAAGCTGTGATGAAGTGAAATGGAGAGAAGTGAAGAGATGACAAAATTTACTTTGCCAGGTTTCTGTAAGGAGCAATGGGGAATTAAGAACGATCTTTACAAGCTCCCCAGAATCCTATCCTCTTTCAGTACTTCATTTTAGCCATAAGCCCTCTTAGTTCAAGAAAAGGGAACAAGGTACAGGGAATGTCCCAACCCTTCCTGCTTTTCCAAGACTCCTCTAGAAATGACTGCAATTCACGTTCAGAGCAACTTGGGCGCTGCAATGACTTGCTAAGATGGAGATCTGAAGCAGAGAAAGGTAATGCATCTTGTCTAAGACCACCCTGCATGCCTTCAGCAGAGACAGAAATCAAGCTCAGATTATCAGAGTCTCAGTCCAGAGGTTTAACCATAAGGCACTCACTCTTCTTGCCTAGTGACAATTCAGGATGGATTGGACAATATTTACCATTCTGAAACACTGCGAGGCAGCATGCTGGGAAGAATTGCTGTGAAAAGAGACAGGGGAGTGTCTCTTCATGTCATTGCCTGGATGGGTAAAGAGGAGGGAGAGCTGAAGAGATGTAAAATAATAGAAGCAGCATCCTACTACATCTTCTGCTTCCTTCCTTGTCTGCTGTCTGCTCACAGACCTCCTCTGCTCCTGATAGAATGCAGAGATTCACTGTATCACTTTGGCATTTAAAGGACCATCTCTCCATGAGACTGCAGAAAATGCTGTGCAGAATTATTCCTGCAGACCCTACACACAATTCATCTTCCCCTCAAGGATATAAAGACACGTATTTAAATCTGCAGCTTATTTCTCTGTGCTGTGTATATGCAGGATTTACGCAATATATATTTCCTGCAGTGGGGATTCATTACAATCAAGGCCCAATGCACAGTCTGTCAGTGACAAATTATGTGAAAGAAGCAGCAAGCCCATCCTTACCTCCTTCTCCTACACAAACACAACTGGATTGAACTTTTATGGTTTTCTCCATACAGAAAACCATGCAGCTTGAAGGCACAGCTCCCAGAAAACACTGACTCTGAGGTATTCAATACAGCAAACTTCAGCCTACATGATTATCTTCATGAAGCCAGTCAAGGCTCTGTGGTAACCTAAAGCTCACCCGAACTTTGGACTAAACTTAGCTGTTCACTTGTGACAGCAAGGAATTCTTGACTGTGCTCTAACCACTGCTGTACTGACAAAGTTGGCTGCATCACACGGCTCAACCCCATCTGATCCTCCCACTCTGACTGACAGAAATACCTGGAGACTCCTTGCGTGACTGTCAATGGAAATGTTACCGTTTCATCTCATTATCAGTGTTCACACCACAGATAAAACCATTCTGGAAATTAACTTCTGGGTGCATGGAAAAGCATCTCATTAAAGCTCAGTATTTCAGCCATGATTCACTCTGTTTTGTTCCTTTTCATGCTGGCTGAAAGTACCAACTACAAGCGTAGGTAAAACTACTGCCTTGAAAAGCCCTGAGGTTGGTTACTGTATGTGTTCCAAGGGAAAGGGAATCTTAACTGGATTGCCTTTCTTTGTGAACAGTGTGGCATATTGTTATATATCCCTTCCTTCCTTCCTCCCTTCACCCCCCAAACCAGAGAGATCATAAGACACCAGTATCAGCCATGCTGGGCTCCATGCCAGGAGAATTAATGAAGTGGTGTAATAGCTCACACAGAGGCCTAGTGATTGGCACCACACTTAAAATGCATCTGCAAGGCAGGAGATCGTAGTGTTGCTGCTGTGTTCTGTTTATTACAGGCACGTCTCTTCCGTTACATTGATTTCTTTATTAGCGCGTTTTAAGGTTGCAATGTGGGGGCTGGCTCTGCTTGAAGGATGGAGGTTTGAATTCCAGCACAGCTTATGGAAAGGAAGTCTCCCTTTGAGACTCTAGACCTGGATGACAGAGCCCAGTGCTAACAAGAACAAGAACCCTACCAAGAAGTTCCCCAGGAGTTTGAAAAATCCTACAGGGCAATGTGAGACCGAGTTGGTTTTTATACTTCCTTTTGGCTTTTTCATGGAAAGAAGGGAGGAAATTTTATCTAAAGAATATAGAGACTTTGTGGTAACTGCAGGGAGGATTTCATTTCCTAATCTAAAGGGAAGGTTTGAAAGCAGCTGCAAGCAACAGATGTGTGGGCTCATAGCTCCTTGCTTTTCATCTGTGCTGTTAAGAGGTCAAATCTCGGCTTGACATGGACAACGAAGGAACGGGTGGGTCTCAGTGCACTCATCAACCAGCATTCGATCACATAATGAACTTCAAATAATTTTGCTACGCACTATTAATGACTTGGAAAGCAGAGCTGTACAGCTGAGGGCAGAGGCAGTGGCTGGGCTGCACAGGGAACCATGATGGCTCCATGTCTACCCCGAATTGCTTCGGTTCAGAGTGCAGACTGAAAAGCCACGGACTGTAACCAGCTGAGGATGGGGCTGGGCTGGAGTCATCAGATTCACACTCCCAAAGGCCAGGAGGAGAAGGTCTGTACGGGAAGAACTGGAAATCTGCTGGTACTCTCTGCAACTGCAGCTGCTGAGCTCGCTGTTATAACAAATTCAGACACAGCTAAAAGCTGGTGTAGTGGTGCCAGGCTGCAGCAGCTCGATGCAGTTGCTGCCTGCCCTTGCCACAGCTCCCTGCAGCAGCCCCCTGCACGGTCACTGCACCAAGCTATAGCTATGGATGGGGTGAGGGGGGAATGATCCAGTGGTGCCCCTAGACAGGATAGCCATGAGAGAACATCATCCCCGGACACCACGTCCTGTCCCAGACCAGGGACCCAGCCTTTGCTAAGCTGTTGGGCTTATTGCTGGCTCCCTTTGAAATTCCTAGATAGCTTTTGCTGGCAACTGTATTGCCATGGAAATGTCTTTAGATTGCCCCTGCAATACTCCCCCAAGCAGTCTGCTTTGCATCTGCATTCATGCCCTGCTTGTAATTGCAAAGGACCTTGCTGCCTCCCTGTCAATCCAGCATGTGAGCTGAAAGGAAGCAGTGTGGAGCATGAACAGGAAGAGCTGCAAGCAGGCAGCCTAATCAGGACATACAAATTCCATTTCAGAGCCCCTACATAAGTTTTTTTTACACCCCCTAATATTTTTAAAGCCTCTTCTTAAAACAACCAATGCTACTACTTTCAGTTCCCCAAAATTATATGGCCAGTGAAAGGAAACACACACCAGCTTATGCAGATGAATCCAAACCTGAAACTTTGATTTTTATATCCATGTGACACCTACAGAGGCCTGCTTTTCAATGTAAAGCACTTAAAAAGCCTTCTTTTATCTATCTTATACACTACGGGCATCATACCAATTTATTATCTTGCTGGGAAATAACAATACATGGTGTAAGTCTGCAGGTCTTTATTGAAACCCTTAGTATAGACAAATTTTATGTCTGGAATCTATCACTGATTTTTGCAATATGTTCTGAGACACTTACCCACAACTGGTTTCTAACAAGCTGTCCCCAACCTGCAGTGATGCCATCCCGAAGTCTGCTATCCGGATGTTGTTCTTTTCATCCAGCAGTAGGTTTTCTGGTTTTAAATCCCTGTGGCTGTAAAGACAGGATCAAAAGATGAGTTCAATTATCCATGACAGCTTTCCCACTCCAAAACTTGTTCTTTATCCAGCATAGCATCCAACCTGTTATATTTTAATTGATTTTTTTTTTCCCCTTCCCAAGCAGGAGAACACACATATCCAAGATTCAATCTTTGCAATACTCTAGACCATATCCCACATGCCCACTCTCTATGAATGCAAGGCTTGAGCCTGCAGTGCCCTGACAGGAAATGAACATCTTCAACTTCCAGTGATACCAACACAATCTGAGGGAGAGACTAAGGGAAACAGGTAGAGGGAGAATTTCAGCTTGGATTTAGGGCTGATATACTCCACCATATGCCAGCTCCTCAAAGTAGGAGGCAACACCATTAATATATTCTGTCAACAACAGGAAACAAAACAGTGATATCTAGAGAAAAAGACCATTTACATTGGTGTAAATGCTACTGCAAAAAAACCCTATTAGGAGCTGTTTACATTAGCATATGGCTTTGAAATAATGATGGAGATTATTTCTGATAGAGAAACTCCTTCAACACAGCACTACTTATAACCGAGGGTGCCTGCAGCGCGAAGGAAGAGAATTCCCTCCTTTCCATCAAAGATTGATTCTCTCATCGGCAATATGGGAAAAACCAGGTAGCCATTATCTTCAGGATGGCAACTCCTGCTCTAAACCAAAGGTGCCATATATTGACTAATTTATTCATCTCCATTACCCACAGCCAACAACACTGTGCAGCCATGTCTGCTTCTTAGTACTCAAGTGCTTTTGTACAACTATTACATTTACTTCATTTTATATCCAAAGACAAAAATCTTCCACAAAATTTGTGATGACTTTGCTTTTTTTTTTCTTTTTATTTGCAACTCTTGAAGAGTCACAGAGATGAGAAAAGCACTTCAGGCAGGCTAAAGATGAATCTCTTCTTTGTTTTTGCTTATGAGTAGGGAAAATGAGTCTTTGATGTCTTGCTAATAAAAGCTCTGAAGATGAGCACTCAAACCTTGCAGGCAGAATGGCCAGATGCGGTACGCAGTCAGAACACAAACCTGTGGGAAACGGCCAGCCAACAACACGCCAGGCAAAAACCAGTCATTTGCAACACGGGTTTACTAAAACCAGGTGCCCTGACCAGAAACTGAACTCAGCAAAAGAACCAGCATGAGGACAGTATAGTCCAGTGACATCCATAATGGAAGGCAGCCATTTCCTCTTCACTTTTTAAGACATTCCTCTAGCACTCATGCACACAAGTATAATTCTACCTCTCTAGCACTGTAAAGAAGGACAGTCTCTGCCCTCTCGGAAAAACATGAGAGGCATGACAGTGTCTTGGAAATTATGTCCTCTGATCTGAAGAGAAGTCTGGAATGATCAGTTACAGACAACTTGTAAATAATGCAGGTCAATTCTACAGAGTACACTGTAACAGAACACCTGGGGAATGTAACAGGTATTTCCAAAGGGGACTTCCAAAATGGCACATGTTCAAAGCAGGTACCGGTCATTTACCTTAGCACTGAGTCTTATGATTTCTCCCCCTTCACTTTTTAAAGAGCATACACTTTGTTCTCCAAACGTCCACTAACATGATGAACCCTATGCATTAAAGTGACTTTGTTAACCATGGGCAAACAATCTGCTAGGTAATGGAGCAGCATGATTGAGATTTGTGCATATTTTCATCTGACAGAGCAAAAGGTGCTTTATCAAATCTATCTTTCTCATAGAAATCAAAGTTTTGCAGTAACTGGAGACAGAAGACTTATTAGCCATATAATAAATACCAAGATAGTCATACCTACTTGACAAAAAAGCAGGAGATGAGTGACAAGGAAATGTTCCAGAGGCAGTGAATGAGCACTTAATGGCCACAAAAAGAAGGCCTGAATACCATCATCAAGGACAGCAGTCCTGGAAAAAGGCAAGATGGTCAACATCTGCCAAATCCGAACACGCTCCAGCCCCAGGAGTGAAATGAAGAGCCCACAGTCCTAAGGCAAGCTAGGAAAGCTGTACACTAATGAGACACTAGTGTGTGATTTAATCTTTCCTCCAGCAGACATCCTTGTCAGTTCTCATCTTACAACTGGTTTCATTAATGGGGGTGCTGGGAAGATCTCATTTGACTGGGGAGACGCACTGAAGTTCTCCTGTCTGAGGAATGGGGCTCAGTGGCAAGCTAATGGCTCCCTATAAAGTGAGCAGTGCTTGTTTGATGCTATGAAACAAGAAACCTCTCTGTAGCTCAAGTTGAGTGTGTGTCCTTCTACTGTGCTTGGTTTTCCAGTGGCTACGGTTGTTTTTCAGTCTTGGCAACTGCTCCTGGCTGACTTCTGAACAGGTACAGGCTGAGGGTGCTGTTGCCTGTGCTTGTTCCACTGTTTGTGCACTGGCTGGTATCACTCATACATGCTCAGTCTATAGCGGGCAACTGCTGACATGTGCCTTTTGTACCTAAAAATTGAAATTCTTTGCTTATCCTAAAATTGTATAGGTTTTTAGAGAGAAGGCAATTTGAAGGAATGATCAAGGCACAGCATTACGTAAGCACAGGATGTCCACAAGCATTTCTCCAGCCTGGATGCAGAGTCATTACAAAACATCTCATGTTATTTCAGGAAAACAATGCAAGCTAAAAGAAATGCAAAAATGCTCCCATTCCAGGCCTCAAGGCTCCCAGCCTTAAGCAGACCTGCCACGGGCCCTGGCTGGAGCAGAACATATGTGAAGCTTGAACCAGTCCCACTCCCAGACCACTAAGAGGTGGTGAAAAGGGAGGGACGACACCTTTGAAAATGAGGACAGTATTCACTGATGGAAAGGAGTCTCCTCCCCATTTCATCCTGTCTTCCCATCAGATCTACAACACAGACTGTTTTAGGCCTGGGTTTTTAGGGAGGATCAAGTGGGGAAAATGACATTCCAATAAAGTGGCAAATATATTCTGGTTTTTATTGGAGGGCCACTGCAAGACAGAGAGGAAAAAGAGGATGCCACCATCCACATTCCAAATGTGGAGTAAGCTTCACCTCACTGCTTGCTTTTTCTTTTTTCTCCAGACACTCACCAAAACAAAACAAAGAAAAATTATCTTGGTATAGCTCTTCACTATAGCCCATTGAGCACAGTGTGGGCATTCATTGGTGACTCGGCCCTAAAACAGAACAACTGTCACAGAGCAGTTTTCCATCTCTTTGACCCTTCTGCATCCCTCTTTCAACACAGCCCCTGGTGCCCAGTATGGATGGTTAGCATAGGAATTTCATGGCAGCATGAGTACTTTTGCATTGTGGCAGCACTCCTCTCAGAGACCAAGGTGCCAGTGGGTTCAGGCAGTGCTTGCACACTCAACCACCAGAGAATTTTATGCCCCAATGAAAATTTTCTTCTAGCTATCCATTTTTCTGCTATCCATCGTGGGACCACTTTGAATTCGTCAAGGCAACAGCCAGGCAGGAGTCTGCACCAGAGAGCCTGAACCAGCATCACTGCCACTGGGAATGAGACTTCCTCTCTGCATTTGCATTTCCCATCTTTCCATTGCCAGCTTTTCAAACGGCAGAAGGAAGAGAGAGGAACATATGGGAATAGCGAAGGCTTGTTACAATTTACCTAAGAGCCCAGCAGCACGGACAGCCTCATGCATTCATATTTGGAAAGAATTCTCTTGTGCCAAAATGAAACAAAACAAAACAAAACAAAAATCCCACTGCATGTGGTAATTACTTGGCATTAATGGTACATTGCAGAGTAAATGCATTTAATTTGGTCCCATTCCAGCTGATCTCTCTGGTTCTCCATGTCTTATATGACCGCATCAACTCCTCTCTCTGCAGGTGAACAGAGGACTCGTTATCCTTTCACTGTTCTAAAGGCTCTAAAGCTGTAGGGGCTTTATCACATAGCTGGAAAATCAGAAGAGAAGAAAGCAGCATCTTTAGTGACAAACATGGCAAACTCTCCTATTGAGCCCTGCATAAGCTGAGAAAGAATATGAAAGAGAAATAGAGCACAGCAGAAGAAGTCAGCGTAACCCTGATCCAGGGTGGCCAGAGACTGCCCAGAGCTCCTCAGCCAAGACAACGGAGCAAGAAGTTAGCTCCAGGAGCCTGCATAAGGCAGGCTGTTGAAGGGAGAGTGTGTAAGTGAAAGGGAGCCATTAAACAAGCCACGACAGGGGAAGCACACACTGCCAGACTCTCTGTAACATCCCTCTTTTACAGATTAGAACAAAGGCTTTACAATTCCCTTGCAGCACAAGGATACAGAGAGAGGTCTGAAAAAATTGTCCCATGGAAACGGGCACAGTTCTTGGAGGTGGTGCGTAGAAAAGGAAAGGCACACATATGCATTAATATGTTCCAGCTTCCCACTTAAACACTGGCCACACTTCTAGCTTTCTGCTTGCTCCCCGTGATGCGATTCAGACAGCTCCTCTAGCTCCCTCCATTGCCTTTCTAGTCCATCCCCCTGCTCTGGGAATATTCCCGGATTTGTACTGCAGGCAATTGCAGCATACATAAAAAAGAGAAGTAAAATACTCTCTCCCTGTCATCCAGGGTTAGCAGAAGATTTTTGGTGTGGTGACAGACTCCAGATCTTGAATTCAAAGGAGCTATGTCACCTGCACGAGATGATGAACAAACCCCTTATTTTAAAGTGATTTTTGAGCTGAAACATTCATATCAGTTTCTATGACAACTCATTGTAGGTCACAGATTTCTAACCCAAGAAACCTCCTAATTGGAGCAGTTGCAGGTCATTTGTACTAATCAAATTGTTGGCTACTTTGCAAATGCTTTTCTTCCTGACCCCAAAATCCCAGGAGGGCCGGACCACAGAATAATTGCTCTTCAGCATGCCTCTTAAAAGTGCTTGATATGATCCAAATAATTTATCAGTAATAATTAATAGTATAAGAAGCAATATTTTAATTTTAAGCAGGAAAAGCATTTAATCTTTCTTTCTCTTGTTTCTGCAAA